TACCTTGGGCTAAATCTGTAGAAGTTTTTCTAAAGGCAAAGAAGAAGGTGAAACACATAAGGGAGGAGAAACCCTCCACTGATTCTCATGAGTATGAAGACTGGGAACAAGAGGATGCACAGATTATCACATGGTTATGGAATAGTATGGAACCCAAGATTAGTGTAAATTTCATGTTTCTTGACATTGCCAAAGATGTGTGGGACCATGCTAAGAAGTTGTATTCTGGTCAAGACAATTCAACCAGAATATATCAGCTGTATCAGGAATACTTTAATATGCAACAAGGCAATCAAAGTCTTGAGGAATACTATGCTAGTATGAGAAACATCCATAATGAGTTGAATGTTTATCACCCCCTCACTTCTGATGTCAAAATTCAGCAACAACAGAGAGAACAACTTGACGTGACTCGATTTTTGGTGGGGCTGAAATATGAGTATGAACCAGTATGGGCTTAGATACTAGGAGGGTTAGCTCTCCCTTCTTTAGAAGAGGTGTTTGCTTGACTTCGGAGGACTTCTATTGGATCTATTGAGAACTCTAATGTCTCAGATAGATCAGCCTTTGCAGTGTCAAGGGGTCGTGGTGTTAGAGGTGGAGCTCGAGGAGCTCAGTCTGGCAGTGGTGGTAGCAATGGTCCGGTATATGGCCGGAGTGGTGGTGGTGGACCTACATATAACCGTGGTGGTGGTCGTACTGGAGGTAGAGATTTAGGGGGAGCCCATGGTAGAGGACGTGGCTCGGGTCCGAGGAGGTGTACTCATTGTGGTATGAATGGATATACCATTAATTATTGCTATGACTTGCATGGTCCACCCTCAACCTAAGCCAATCATGCCATGACTAGTGACACCAGTTCCAGTTTCAAACAGGAGAATCGTTCAGCTGATCAAATACCCCTACACTAAYAGCAATGAACCCAAAAACTATGCAATAAGAGTTAAGTCCACAGTATATAGTTTTCCATACAACATAAGACCAAAAATGTATTGAAAGCAAAAGTTACATAACAAAACAGGGTGCATAATAGAAGAGAATTGTACTGGGGATTAAATCCCTAAGGGTAAAGAATTAGTTGTACGTTTCTTATACACAGGATGTAGGATAACTAGCTGGCACTAGATGTTGTACTTGGGAAGTTTAAGTCTTGAGGCTGTACATAATCTTATTTTTATCTTTAATGAATACATTTGACAGTTACAAATCAAAAGAAAAGTTGCACCACAAATAATAAAGGTTAAGGAAAAAATGTGTTTTTGCCAAATTTGAGCACTCTAAAAATAAAAAGAAGTTATGAATGCATAGAAAAGGAAATAAGCTCAACCAAAGGCAGCCAAACAAAAAATTGATAGACATAAATTACTAAAATACTAGCAAACAAATAAACTTGAATTTAAAAGACAAAATGTTTTGTAATTATAACAAAAAAAATTATATATACACAAAAACCAGCTTGGCAAGATGTATTATCATTTGTTTATATACTCTATTTGTGCTACTTATTTTCTGGATGCTTTATGTTAGGCTGCAGGTTTGCTAATCAAGTTGTTTAAGGAAGCCCCCTAAAGGAGCCAGGAATCTTTAACATGGCTAATGAGTTTGGAACCCAAAATGACTCTCCATGTTCCTATCCTCTACCTACCGTACACTCATTTAATGATTTTCAGCAAAAAGAATATGTTCAAAGAAAGCCCATGTTATGCTTGTCAGTTGGGATGGATGTTGTTAGTCTGGAAGTTGAGGAGAGGCAAGGTGTGGGCAAGATAACAGAGTTACAGTAAGCAGGTAAGAGTTGAAAGAGAGAGAAGCTTTCTTGTGTACATGTATCATCAGGTGGATGGAAGGTGCAGGAGTTGAGATCATTTCATGGGTTTTGGTAGGCTGGTTGTGTTGAAATCAAACCAGAAGTGAGAAAGCTTGGCAGGGGTCTTTTTTTATTAATTCCGTAGTCTAAATATGAAGTGTTGGAAGTCTTGGAGCAGGGTTGTAACACCTTCAGTGGACGGAAAGTTCACCTTTCTAGATAGGAGTTTTTTATGGCAATAGTAAAGATTCCTACTAGTTTTTGGTCTCACATTCAATACATGGCTTAATCCACATTCAGAGAAATCAGGAATGCTTTAGGTGGCTTCATTAAATGAAAGTCTGTGGATGCTACGTGCCTTCTTATTTGGGGCCATTCTCTGTCTGAGATTCCTAAGACTATGGATCTGGTAGTTTCTGGAGAGACCCACATTCTTAGGATTGTGGTGGAGGGCTAATGTTGGAGTTCTTTGTGGAGGAGTGGTGGATTTAGGGGTTTGGAAAAGGGTTGTTTCATTTTCTGTGGAGGTAGAACTGAACCTCCTCAGTTGATATGCCCATCAGCAGAACTAGATGGATGATTCAATTGGTGGAACTTTTCCAGCACAAACTCAGCCATCGGCAGGGACACAGCGAGAAAGGGGATGGAGGTCTGGTTATCTTTTTCACTGGTGAGCTGGGGGATGTCAGAGGAGAAGGAGAACTGACTCAAACAATTGAGCTGAGGAGGTAGGGTTGGAAGCTTTAGTGGAATGACTGCCAACACTTTTTTTTGAAGGTCATTCCTCTAAAGGTGGCTGCCCCTTTAAATGAGATGTCAGATCAAGTCGGGGAGATGTCTCAGATTTAAATTTGAATTCAAAAGAAAGTTCAGTAGTAAATTTAACCAGGTAAATGAAACAGTCCGTCAAGTCAGGCATGAGGATGGGCAGTTCTCAACTAGACCATTGATATGAGAGTCGGTGGGCTGGGCCAGAACATGGGCCTAGGATGGGACAGTAAATTTAAACCAGGTATATGAGAAAATCCATCAAGTGGGGCCTGAGGATGGGCAATTCTCAATCAGACCATTGATGTGAAAGTCTGTGGGTTGGGCCAGAACATGGGTCTAGGCCTGAGACTCCTATTCCAGTATCCACAATATGGTATCCATTAAGGGTTCTAGTTGACCAACGGATGAGGGAGATCAAATTTGGAGCTCCAAGCAAAGGCAAAGTAATGGAGCTTCCAAAGAGGAGCAGATGATTGATCCTTTGCATATAAGAAGGTATCAAACTTATTTACTTGTTGAAGAAGAGTTATAAAAAGAGGAGAGTTCAGGAGGCAACAACGATGAGGTTAACTGAGATTATCAAGAGAAGTCATATGAGGAAGAAAAATAGTTATAAAAAGGTCAGTAGCTCTTTCTAGGTGGAAAAATTTTTGCAGGAAAAAAGTTTAGTAGGATGGAGGTGGAAGATAGGGGGAATTTAAGGTGTGGCACAGAGCTAGATGGAAAGGCCTCAGATGCTAGTAGCATACTAGCATAGTTAGTGACTTGGAAGCAGTGAGCTAGAAGAATTGAGAACTCTAAGGGGGAAGGAGTGAGAAAAAGATGGGCA